TAATTTGGCCCCTGTGGCAGCTTATTGCTTGGGGTTAAATCCCAAAAAGCTCAACAACTTTGGTTGGCCCTCAAGCATCAAATATGGGCCTCTTTGAAAAAAGGTAAATGGTCTGACTTGGTATGGGACAGTTTAATATGATCCTATGAGTGACCAATTGAGTTGGCAAAAACTAGGCCACTCCAGGAATTGCCAAAATATTACACTGCTCTCCCACAAAAAACAACAACCTAAGAACACATATTTGGAAATCAAGTGAAATCCATTAGCTTCCTTTCAAATATATCATACTAGTTAAGAAATCAACTGTAGGAAGATGGGGCAAATTAAATAGCCCAACTTCACCTTCCAGTTCTCTTTCAAAAGCTGATATTCCAGAACAGAACTGAGAATAGCCTTCAGGTGCCAAGTGTGCGTTTGGCACAGAAACACATGCTAAAGACACGAGATAATAAACAGCCTCAAATGCTACTACTTCAGGTTAGCTTAACTGGGGAAATTCAACTAAAGCCACATTTTAAATTGGTTTACAATTCTTGCTACGTGTCCTGAGGTTTGGAGCTAAAATCAGAAAGAAAAGCCCACCACACAAAATAAAGAATACCCACCTTTTTGAGAACTGCCTTTCAGATGTCACTGTGATTTTGTTTTTAAAGCGTTCAATATGAACTACATTTCCCAAGTTTCCAGTTTTTCCATTGACCTTAACTTTTTCCTTCAGGAACTGTTCCTAATTCAAGAAAAACAAAAAAATGCAACACTAGGGAATGGTGCCCTAGATGTGGAACTAGGGAAGTGACCCTAGCCAGACAATCCATTATTACAGTCACAAAATGCAAATAAATCATGCAAGAATCAAGAAAAATGAATAGAAATATTAATAGAAATATTCCTATTAATGTACCGTATTTTTCGCCCTATAGGACGCACTTTTTCCTCTCCAAAAATGAAGGGGAAATGTGTGTGCGTCCTCTGGGGCGAATGCAGGCTTTCGCTGAAGCCTGGAGGTGCGCACCAACCCCTCTTGCTCTCCAGGCTTCAGGAAGCTATCCGGTAGCCGTGGGAGACGCAGCTCTCCCACGGCTAGCGGAGACCTTGCTGGCACCCAGAAGCTTGGGGTGCGCTGAGCTCAGCACGCCCCAAGCTTCGGGCTTTGCGCAGCGCTCCGCTAGCCGTGGGAGAGCTGCGCGAAGTTGCACGGCTCTCCCACGGCTAGCGGATAGCAACCTGTTCTGGGGGCTGGGGAAGCTCAGGCTTCCCCCGCACCTGGGGGGGGGAATAATTTTTCCCCCTTCATTAGGTGCGTCCTATGGGCCGAAAAATACGGTAATTCATAACATACAATATCTGTCTCTCTCTATATATTTATTTTAAGATACCAAAACATTGGTACGATACATAGTCATTTGGTATGGAATCCATCTGGATTATGATTAAGATAGTCACTAAGCCAAGCTAAATAATTATCCCATCCAGGTCTGTAACTCCAAACCTCCCTGCACAAGCAAATGTAATTGCAGGCAGTAAGAATTAAAACAGGATGTGATTAATTGGCTGGGAATGATTTACAGTTGTAGGAGTCAAGTTCTTACCCATAGGCTGATTTGACTAAAGGGCAACTATTTATCATGAATTTTATTATAAACACGCATAGACTTAATTTCCTTTAAAAGAAACCTCAAGCATTTGAATTTTTTCCCTTCCTTACGTTTCAATGTATGTTGCCATTAAAACATGACCAAAGAAGTGTGAACAGCAGAACTACTTACAAAATTTCCTGAATCAAATATTCCATCTTCTACAGGATGGGTGAGGTCAAGGCTATACTTGCAAGTTGATTTTTTCAGTTTCTTGTCCTTTTGCTAAAAGAAAACCAAACATGCCCCTGAAGTTAGTATAAATGATCCTTATATTTGATCAGTATAGTCAAGAGGAAATATATACCTCATATATCAGAGATGCCTTAAAATATTTCTCTACTTAACCAATATTCTTTATCCTGTAACTTTCACTTAACACAGAAAATATATTAGTAATGAAAATTTCATCACCTACCCTCAAGCCAAGCATAAGAATTAACAGTTCTTTAATAGCTAACTTTGTTTTCCTCTCAAAGGGCTAGGGACAATTTTTTTGTTACTCTATTTTAAACTAAAATAACGGAGGACCTTGCGCCAAACAAACAAGAGCAACTTCTGCCACAAGCACCAACTAGAATCCAAAGGGCCCATACCCAGGACCTGTGAGGTGGCAGAATCTGTCCAATCAGGGGAGTCAAGGGTCTTAGGAGCCAGTGTGGTATGGAGATTAGAATGCTAGACTAGGATATGGGAGATTAAGTTCAAACCCTCACTCAGCCATGAAGCTAACTAGGTGACCTTGGGCCAGTAACTACCTCTTTGCCTAACTTACCTTTGAGTGTTCTTGTGGGGATTCAATGAGAGGAAGAACGATGTACAGCACCTTGAATTTTTGCTAATTAAACACTATGGTCTTTTAAATGGGGGGGGGTTGAGGCGTATTGGTTTTGTTACTATGTATTTTTATATTGTAAACCACTTTGTGATCCTCCAATGAAGGGTTTATAGAAATTTAATAAATAATAACAACTCCCGGGGGGGGGAGGTTGGACTTAAGTGCTATGGAAGACCAGGATTAAGTGTCATTCCTTCATTTGTGGCTATCATAGCACTGGGCCTCCCTCCCCTTTCATCCGATGTATACCTAATGTTAAGATGTACAGTGGTACCTCGGGTTACAGATGCTTCAGGTTATAGACTCTGCTAACCCTGAAATAGTACCTCAGGTTAAGAACTTTGCTTCAGGATGAGAACAGAAATTGTGCAGCAGCAGGAAGCCCTGTTAGCTAAAGTGGTGTTTCAGGGTAAGAACAGTTTCAGGTTAAGAACAGTTTCAGGTTAAGAACGGACATCCAGAACAAATTAAGTTCTTAATCTGAGGTACCACTGTATACCTAAAGTTAAGCGGTGGTAATACAGAAGATGCAGAACTGGGGACGCTCATCATTTACTATTGCCAGTTGACATTTATTTATCCACGGGCTTTGCAAGATTTCCCATGTCCCTTTATGGATGTCCTATGCATTTTTGCTGGAGCAGCAAACTTGAGTGACCTTCAGATGTTGCTGGACTCCCAGATAGCGGGGCCCAATGATCAAGAATGACCTCAAATTGCAATCTAGCAACATCTCCCTTTGCGTGAGAGCATTACGAAACCCATCCCCGAAAAGCACGACGACGTGAATGAGGTACTTTAGAAAATTGGCAATGAGCTAAGAGAGTTCTTCACAAGAGTCCTCCAGACCTTATTTCGCATTATGTACGTGATCTTGCAAAACGTGTGTGGCGCCCATGAACTCAGGGTACTAAACACGACAGGCAATCCTACTGAAGGCAACGGGCTTTCTCCCAGGTAAGGGGGGTTTAGGGTCACAGCTACACAGCAGCCTCCCAACAGCCCTGCAAGGTTTACTAGCGTGTGGGAAAGGAGCAGGCGAGGGAGAGAAGAATGAGCAGGGAAGCCTTCCTGCCCTCCTTTAACCCACGCGTGTCTCCCGCCACAGCCCGCCCGGCTCAGAAACTCACCGGCGCCATCTTGGCCAGGCAATGGAGAAAGAGGGCGGAAACATCGCGGCCGCGCTTTTATAGATATCCGCGCCGTGACGCAATGACGTGCAGCGTGGACCACGCTCGAGGGATAAAGGAAGAGAGTTGACGCTCGGATCAGGGAAGAGGGGTAATACTTCCGGGTGCCAAGCGCCCGCTCGTTTCCGCTAACGTGCGCACACCGGAAGCTGCGTGATAGAGTCCGGCCGGTGGGTCCTGGTGTCTCGGCGCTTCTTTATTTTTGGGGGGGGGGGGGGGGTTTCAAGTTTAATCAATAGAAATAAGAAATCCAAGGAGCGCGAGTTAGAACCGACCGGAAACAGCTCCCCAGGGCAATAGACAGGGGGCTGACGCAGCCCCGGGTGGAGAGGCTTGGGACTGGAGTCCTTCTGAATGCCGAGCGAGGCTCTACCTCCGAGCGACACCTCTTCCCAAGGTTCCCTACAATCGCTGTAGGATGTTTTGAACCCGTAGTCTGTTATGAGTGTGGAAATGCCACAAGGCTCCACCACACACACACACACACACACACACACCATTTTTATGCAGGCAAGCTATTCTTGGAAAAGCGCTTCCCAATTAGACAAGTACTATTTAGGGATGCCATATTTCAAACAATGAAAACCCGGATTTTTTAAATTTTCCAATTAACAAATCAAAACCAAATTAAATTAACACAATTATTATTTTAAAAAGGTTTCCTGCTTAGGATTCTCCTGGATATTTGACTGATTTCCACCGGGAAACTGTTCTGGATGTATGACGACCCCAAATACTAGCTGGCCAAAAATCTATTTGCCCACCTTTGAAGTAACAGTGGACTACATTACAGGGGTTCAAGAAGCCCCTTCCAACCCCAAACCTTTCCCCTCTTTGCAATGCAGCAGATATTAACAATCAGTTTTAGCTTTTGGGTGTCAGGTCCTCCCCAAACCTTGTTTTACAATGGAAGAAATATTGGGCACCTTCGTGCTGTTCAAGCAAATGTATTTGCTCAGGTCAGTTTTTATTGGGCAATCTACAGCAGCCTTCCTTTTCAAAACAAAAAAATTCCTTCCAGTAGCACCTTAAAGACCAACTAAGTTAGTTCTTGGTATGATACACATCTGAAGAAATGTGCATGCACACGAAAGCTCATACCAAGAACTAACTTAGTTGGTCTTTAAGGTGCTACTGGAAGGAATTTTTTTGTTTTGACTATAGCAGACCAACACGGCTACCTATCTGTAACTTCCTTTTCAAGTGAGATTGTGATCAATGATGTATGCTTAATAAGGAAACTACAGTAGGGTCACGTCCTTATAGAATTCATAATCTGTGGAAGTGCATATACAAGGCATTTATTAGCAGTTGTAGGGAAAAAAGTCAAAAGAGTAGCACTTAGGTTCAAACTTTATTCTCATTGTGATCCAAATCATAATTCAAACTTTTCAATAAAACAGTCGTTAAAAGCCAAGAACTCTTAACACATGAATACGCTATTACAGAAATGCAGAAAAAATACAAACCTTTCAAGTTTTGCTTTTAAAGTCAAAAGTCACTCCTGTACAATGAACACTGCATCCATTTGCTAGCCAGTAGGTATATTGCATACTTGTCTGAGCTACCGTATGTGGCAAATACAAAAACCCCTTCTCCCCACACGTTGTTTACAATTATATGTTAATGTAACAGTCACTGATCATGAGCGTTCACTACAAGACCTAGATAAAACAATGTAAATAAAAGCCACAGAGATCATTGTCCGAGTTGTACTGTGGAAATGTGAGTATAATGTATGAGAGTCATATGCTTTACACAGGATAAAATGTTTAAGCACAGCTTGTTCTATGAAAGTTTCCAGACACAGCCAACATTTCCATACTTAAAGCTTACTGCAGTCAAACATGTCATCTAGTCACTAGAATAGCTTGGTCACAATGTTTGACTGTGTTAGACTAAGGTTCAATGTACTAGAACTCTACTTGCATCATAGGCATGCTATAAATTTATGGAATACAAAACCCTGTAAGACTTTCAAGCAGCTTTGTTAAAATAATCAACTTAAGCTCTTTCAATTCTTCACAAGAGCAGCCCTGAGAAGAGTATATTCAAGTCATGGCTCAACTAGCAGTGGTTTTGTTGAACAAAGACACAACAACACATCAAGAGGTAAAGTTGGGTTTTAAAAAAGAAGTTCCTAACATCTGAGGCAAGAGAACCTACAGCACACTGAACAAAACATCAATGGACCCAAACAAGAAAGCTTGCACCATTACAGAACAGCAGCAGGACTGAGTTGCTCATATCAACAGCCTTAATTTTGGCTTACAGCTTGTTAGAAGAGCTTCCACCTGCTCCAACAAAATACAATTTGTTCCAACTATGAAGTAAAAACCATTTAAAAGTGAATTTAGAGAAACATGATTACCCTGAAATAGCTTAAATAACCTGAAAGATACAGTATTAAGCTTTTATTAGCAAAGTTAGTTTATTGTAAACCTGGTGGGTTTGTAGAGACTGCTCTCTACTAATGAAATGGCTTTGCTATTGTCTTATTGTAAATACTGTAGTTTTTACTGGTGAAATGACATTGCAAAACCTGTATGCAAAAGAGTGCCACACAGATCTACTTAGCAGATTCCCCCCCCCCATCTAGTCTAGATATTCTGTGGTTCCAGATTGCTAAAAGTCAAGTTGAAATTAAGACAGTATGTTTTCCGAAGTATAAGAGGGCACTTCAGTAACACATTTCCAAAAGCCACCTGCCTCTACACATTTTAGCTGCGTACGTCCTTAAGATGATGCAAGCAGTTAAGATGTTAGTAGGACTCTTCAGATACTATGACACCAGTTTACTTCTCAAAACTGTTCACATTCATGACTAATGATACTAGCTGAGTCCATGTTTCAAACTGGGACTTCTCATTCAAACCATGACTATTGGAGAATCAACTATCTAGAAACACTCACATGATTAGACTAAATATGCTAAAATCCTTCAGCTTTCCAGTAGCCCTAGATCTTGAAATATGTAGTTATTTACTACCACATCAAGACTGTGCTTTGTTCGAGTTTTTATTGCCAAATCAATCTGCGTTGTGCCCCTTCTCTGCATAGATACTTATAATATAGAGCCTACCACTAGACCCTGATGCAGTTCATTTACACCTGTTGTCATTTACACCTGTTGTCTAACTAACTTCACTGATTAAAGGGCAACCATATTCCTAACTGAAGCTCAAAATCCTGTTTCCTATGCACACAAAAAGCTGCCAGCAATGAACTAAGCACGTTTTAAGAACCCAGTCACTAGTTCAAGTTAGTCAGTTGCTACCATTATTTAAGGCAAATTTAAGTTAAGTTGGTGTCCCGCAAAATGCTAATGAAGCAGAAGCATGATCTTACAAAGTTGAAGGGTACATGTCTATTAGCGATTAGGCATTTGCCTGTTCAGTGTAATCAAGTCTTGTACAAGTAGATTATGAGTCAGTGTGACCCCTTAACACAGCACTGAAGTTCTTGTACTTGATAGAGCACTCTGTCATAGTTCTTTTTGGGACTGTACAACCCATGACCTAATTTCAGTTGCGTGAAACCAGGCTCATATTAAGCCTTTATACAAGCTAGTATGTGCACTTTTGATCCATTAATAAAAAGTCAAAAAGTCTATTTGTGCTACAAAACTAAAGAGTTAAAATCAAAAACAAATATGCCTAATACTGAAACACTTGAGGCATTCCCTTCTTTTAAACTAGAAGAGTGGCTGAACTCCATGTTGAAATCAAAGGCCTCTAGTGAATCTCCTCTCCCTCCCTCCCACCCCCAAGCTTTTGTGCACTATTAACCAGAGTATGAAAGCATCCAATATTCTGGATGTTTGCATCACAGGCAAATGGTGACATGTTAAGAGTGAGCCAGCCAGCAAGACTACAGATATAAGTTTGTTGTACATGGCCATCAGCACTGGCATTTTGATCACATGAGTTCCCTTGTCTCCAGCTCAATGACTATTCACAGTTCAGTGCAAGCCACATTTCACCATATTTTAAGATAAAAGTGGTTATTCGCATTTGTTTAAAATGTTGTATTTAAACACTATTCATACTTAAACCCAAACTTAGTACTACCTTGGTATTGGCACTGCTATACAGTCTCATTCGAGCAAAGCATACTAGTAATACCTCATGATCTAAAATGACAGTTTTGACTGCCTTGCCATTCCTGTAAGCACTTGAACTTCAGCAATTTTAATATTGCCAAATGGCTTGCAACATTAGCCAGCACTATTTTCAAACAAAGACACGAGGTTGCTAGTGAAGGTTATAGCTTTGGTGATAATTAGAACTAAAATAAGAAATCTGCAGTTGCTGAGATATGAGCAGCTGCTCAAATCCAGATGGTCCTATTTGCAAGGTTTAATGGCTACAGCACATTCTTCACTCATTGCACACATGACTGATACCTAAAGGAGAGAGAAAAGGCATTATTAGGATACACAAAACAGCTATTACATTTACAACAAGTGTTGTGGTGGCAATAGTTGGGTTCTAGCACCAGTATTCCAATTTTAGTCAACCTCCCAGCAAAAAGCTAATCACAAAGCACATAATTAAGCCAATCTAACATAATAGTAGCTTGAGTTCAGGTGAAAAATAGGAAGGAGAAGTATTTATAATAAAGACAAGCTGAGGAATATAACTAACTTATCCTGATCATCTAGTTTAGGAGGGCACTGATATCATTTCCATTTAATTATTTTGGCACCAGGTTTTTTACAAAATGAGACAGTGGTTCCCAATTGGAGGTCTGCATAACCTATCCAGGGGGTCCATGGCTCATCAACTGCTCGGGACATCTCATTTTTTTAGGGCTATACTCTTGTTTAGAAGACGCACATCACAGTTGTGCTGGGACATTTTGGGGGGTATGGTGTCACTATTGACGTAACAAATATTACATTTTCAAAAGTAGGGGGACCTTGGCTTGGCTTTTGAGAAACAGGCGGTCTACAGTACTTAGCTACTTAGGAACCACTAGATTTACATGTTGGTTTTTGTTACTAGTGTGATGCCAAAGCTTCCCATGGCTGATACGTTCTGCTCTGAAGGTATAATGTATTTCTATTTTAAATGTGTTGCAAGTTGCTTGGAGACCTTCAGTTAGTAAGCAATTAAAAAGTATAATAAATAATATGAATGAAGAAAAAACCAACTGCAATTACAAGAGATAAGCCACTTGTTATTTCAGAATAGAAAACTAATTCCACTTTATCCCCCTTTCTTTTCTCCCCATTAAAATAAGGCCCAGGAAGTTATTTTAGATCAACCATTAGCAGCAATAAAGTACTTTCAAGGTAACTTGGGTGTCAAAAGAAAAATAAAACCCCAGACTTTTTCAAACCTCAGATTTTACCTGGAAATCTTCGCCTGCATTATACTTCCCCTCTATTTCTTTGCCTAGTTCACCTTCTGGCACCTTCAGATCCTCACGAACTTCACCACTTTCTGTCAGCAAAGAAAGATATCCATCCTGTATACAGATCAGCTGCAAGAAATCAACAATTCCAATTCAATTTTATTCATAATTGAATGAAGTTCAGTCAAAAGTATTGGCATATGGGCATTGCTTTCTGAGCTTAGCATTTTGCTTCTGATAGCTATAGACAAGTGGTTTTCAAAACTTTTTTCTCTGGACCACACTTTCAGAATAAAAATGTATAAAACAATGTGAATGAGAATATGAATCATTCACATATTATATTTATTGACTGTCCTGGAATCTTTCTGCCACACTTGCCATTGTCTCCTACTATATCAATGTGGCACACCACACCGTTTGAGAGCCACTGCTACAGAACAACCTTGCACATTTCTAATACATGGAACCCAGTTTCAACAGTTTTTAGTTCAAGATCTATTCAGTGTGAATCACAGCTTTAGTCACTAAAGGGATAAAGCTAAAAATGCTGTATTCAGTAGCACTTTCTAGCAAAAGCAGCTTTGAAACTGAAAAATATAGTAAGATGATCTAAAACTGCCAATTAATTTTATATGTGGTTCCAAATATTGTTATTGGCAGATGTTCTGCAAATGTAATTTGCTTCAAATATTCCTGAATATTTTATAGCAAAGCCTACTGAAGAAATTGCTACCATATTAACCCAGCATGAGATATTTCATAATGCTGCAAAGTACCTGAAGATAGTTCTACTAACATACACTATGCTCTGTATTTAAACATATAGATCAAAGCAAGGAACTGCACAACAAAATTGCACAAAATTTTTAGTCTGACAGAAACAATTCATCTCAGTCTGGACACGAGGGGAATATTTAGGGCCACTTGTTTTATTAAGTGTATGTGTATCCCATCTTTTCTATTAGCATGTTCAAGGTGGCCCCCATCCTACAAAATCAATTCATAATGATGATTAGATGGCATTTGTAATAATCTCTCCACTTCCTCTAATGATGGCATTTTATGTTGTCCGGTGGCTGCACCAAGGGTTAAGTATTTGACTGGAAATGAGATGTCAGAGGTACGAGATTACAAAACCCAGCTTGTTTCGATGGGTCCTTTGGAAGGCTAAGTAATTTAAGGCGTGACATTTTAATTAAGGAAGCATAGTTTTTTCATAGGACATCAGGCTATGCCCAGAAGGGACTTTCTATTTGTATAGATTAAAATGTAGACTTACTTGATAGTCATTCCTCTTGATGTTAGGAACATCCATGTTGTGAGTGGAAGGACAAATATCTTCATATTTTTTGCCAGTGAACACATCAATGCCAACTAGGTGGACCTAGGAGAATGTTCATGCACATATATTTAGGCTACCAAGAACAGTATGTTCCAAGAACAAAGTTTGGGATAGGTGGGGGGGGGGAGAAAGAGAAAGCAATTAACAGTAATTCATTTGCATCCACCCAGAGACTAAAGCTGGAACAGTTCTGTAAGGAGAAGTCACATATAATGATACTCAAATTACAGTCTATCATTGACTAGAACAAGACAGTCAAACACATGGCCTGAATCCTGCATTCGACCCTCAAAGCCGTTTTTGGCAGCCCTCAGCAACATATGACCCGACCCAAAACCAGTTAAGGAGGCACTGAGCTTTGGGAAGAGTTGTCTCTACACAACTACACTACAACTCCCATCGTCCCTAGCTAGCAGGACCAGTGGTCAGGTATGATGGGAGTTGCTGTCCAACAACATCTGGGGACCCAAGGTTGAGAAAGGCTCGGCTAGCCTATACAGTACAGTATCTTACTTCAGGAGAGAAAAGTCACAAATGATTTACCCATCTCCACAAATAGCTTAGAATTCTGAGACATACAGTTTTCTGTAACCAAAAGTTAGCATTTAAATTGATGTTTGGATGTAACTTCTATGCTTATTCCGAGATTCAAGTCACCTATGCATGCCCATCACCTTTAAGAATGCTTCTACCAAAGAGGTATCTTACTGAAGAACTATCAAGATCATATTTGTGTATGGTGACAGTTCTGAACGTAAGCATGTGCTTAGATACAAATTACACAAGCTCCAAAAGAGAGGCTTCAGTAACTCAAGCTACCTCAATTTTCTGACTTAAATTCACAAGCTTAATCCTGGCGTGTTCCAAACCCAGGACCACCAGGCTGTGCTGCAGATCTGTACTGATTCCCTTCTCATCCTCACCATCGGATTCCCTCCATTTGTGATGCAAAACTAGAGAGGAGCATATGAGCTTCCAGGATGTTTGTAATCCTCCAAACCATGATTTGGAGAATAAGAATGCAATATCTGAATTGAACCAGTGTACCACTTGGAATCAGATACATCATTCAGACAAAGGTATTTAGAGAGGTTGAAAATTTACTAACCAAGTGTGCACTATATTGAGGGACTCACTTTTCATGCTCTCCCCTAGCAGAGAATGCCACCCATGTCAGAAACCTTATACTATGACAGCCAGCTAGACTTGCACTACAAGGAGAGGACAGATAGTGACAAGTTAAGTAAGACTGGGCCACGCACCTGGCAAATCTGATGTTAATGTTTAATATTAGTAAACTAATATTCATTGAAGAACAATGTTGGCATACCAGAACAAAATTAAAACTCAAGAAAGCTCTACCAAGTAATTACCTTTGCATGACCATGCTTGCCAGTCTTCGAAGTTGACATTTCTACAATCTTGCAGGGACGTCCCTTCAGCACCACAAAGCCATTTTTGCGGAGTGCAGAACACTGCATAGGGTAGGTGGCAGAAGCACCAGCATCTCCAGTGGTAAAATCAACTTCATCAGCCATAGTATGTAGTGTGTTCTGGCAAATACTATAAAATTTAAAAATAAATCCAATCATTTCATGCATCAGTTACATAATAAAGTATTTGTATCTTTAATATAGTTATAAATAGATATGCAGATGAACACAAATCTCTCACTTATATACCATACTTCGAATATAATGAACCATGTTACATAAAGTACTATACTCAGTCCAGCACTGAACATATCAACAATCTCCACCTTCACTGCAAGTACGACAGCGTTGTGAAATGGAATAGCTGTCCCCTGTGGTCACTGAGTACACATCCTAAAAATGCTAGCTCAAGACTGCAATATGGGATGGGAAGGGCAATATTTTACTCTCAGGGGTCCCAACTGCCATGTTATGGCTCAGCCAGGGCACGGGGAGAGTAGGAAGAGAAAAGTTGCAGGAGAAAATGGTAACAAGGAATGTAAAATTACAATTACAAGATTTATAAGAAATGCAAATTTTACAAGATTTATAAATTGGAACAATAGATTTATAAATTTGGTTTCTGAAGCTGTGGAATAGAATTTTGGGGGATTATTGAAAATTAAGTGCTACTGTCCCACACTTGACTCAAACATGAACAGTATTTTGCTGCCAAATGCCAGCTCCTATTTGGTGAGAGCTACAGGCTCTGTGGGTTAAACCAGAGAGCCTAGGGCTTGCCGATCAGGTCGGCGGTTTGAATCCCCACGACGGTGTGAGCTCCTGTTGCTCAGTCCCTGCTCCTGCCAACCTAGCAGTTCGAAAGCATGAAGTGCAAGTAGGTAAATAGGTACCGCTCTGGCGGGAAGGTAAACAGTGTTTCTGTGCGCTGCTCTGGTTCACCAGAAGTGGCTTAGTCATGCTGGCCACATGACCTGGAAGCTGTACGCCGGCTCCCTTGGCCAAAAAAGCGAGATGAGCACCGCAACCCCCGAGTCATCCACAACTGGACCTAATGGTCAGGGGTCCCTTTACCCTTACACACCACAGCAGTTATAACTGTAACATGTTTTCCACACAGTCTGGTTGTATGGTGAGGTATACAACTGAGCAATTACCAGCGAATGGGGCTTCTTATTACAGGATGGTTGCAGCAGCATGAAGAATCCCATCTCTCAGAAGTGCCTTTTTGGCAACAACTACAGCCATTTCATGATATTACAATCACAGCAGTTACCCTCAAGCCAGAAATGAAATGCATGAGGAGAGGTGATGTGAAAGAGCAAAGGGATAACTAATATAGGGTGCTTACAGTAGGCATTTTGTGGTGGTTCACAATTCTGGCAGCCGAAGCAAGTCTACTTATCATTTAGTGATCTCAGGAACCTGTTTCATCACTGTCTAAAAGCTGTAAGGGTGTACCATGACTGGTAGGGAATGCAGCAGATAGGCGTTAAGCAGCTGGGGCTGCTGCATCACTAAAACTCTCACAAGAGAATGGAATTTGAACAGATACAGAGCTTATTTTACCCTGCATGACAAACGGGATTGCTCTCAGGAAGAGTTTGTGAGCATCTTAAAAGTATCTGGGTACCCACTATTGCTCAACAGAGGGGGATGGTGTACTAGGTATGGGAAGATTTGACTAGACGACCTTTGGACAGAGCCTACACATCAATTCTTAAGAGGAAAAAGGAAGCTTAGTAGGTGTGCACTCTCTTACTCTCTCACACACACACTGAGCACACAGGGCCACGTTTTGACCTACCCAGCCACCAAAAGGGGAAACCAGTGTGGGAAAACAATGGCCAAATGAGCTCCTCTACCTGTTAAACCCCCAAAACACATTCCAAAATCCGCAATAGGGCAGTATGTTTATTAGGGCGTTTTCTCATCTTGGTTAGTCCTAATGGAGATGGGTCTAGAATTGGCCTCCACAGTCACTTACGGACTCACTGTTAAAACTGTGTTTATGGAAGACAATCTTACTAAGCTACGAGTGATCGCCAAAGACGACGACGACTATGAATTCTAGCAGTTTTCTTGGGGACCAACATGGCTGCCTTTCCTTCTTGGGTAATTCTAAACACTCGTGACCAAGAAGCGAAAAGGCCATCATGGGTGGAGAAGCTGCGACACCCCCCCCCCGATATTCTTGGGACTCCGAACAGCTCCTAACCAGGTTGGTCGGGGAGGGTGTGTGTGTGATATGAGGTGGTGTAGGCCCAACGCCATCTACCTGGCTATCCTGCACGGCAAAGGGGTTGGGATGGATGACCCTTGGGGTCCCCATCCGACTCTACGGAGGGCACCGCAGCTTCCCCGCGGCATACACCAGGCCAATTTAAACATGGCTTTCCTCACAGAGCGGGTAATGAGAGAAACAGAGCTGAGGAAACGATCCGCTGGCCTGGGAAATTCAAGCTCCGGCCCCCGGTTCCTCCATCTCCCCAGCCCCGAGTCCCCCCAGCTCCCGCGAAGGGAGGCGCCCCGCATGGCCGCCTCGTGGGAAGAGCAGGCGGCGCCGGGGAGAAGCCTGAGGGGAAGGCGCCGGCCGCCTCGGACCCGGGTCTGCACCAGACCAGTCCGGCCCGGTTCGCCGTTGGCCTGAGAGGATTCCAAGCGGCCCGCCAACGGCTCCAACGGCTGAGCGGAGGGACTAAGCGGTGGGGGGGGGAGGGGGCGCCGCACGCACCCGCGTCAGGAGCCAGCACTTACCTCCCACGGCGCAGGGAAAGACTGGAAGAGCGTCGCAGCAACGCGCACGCGCAGAGCAGCCGTAAAGGGAGGCAGAGAGGCGTGTGGGTGGAGAAAAGGAGGGAGAGAGAGAGAGAGAGCGGGAAGGGGAGGGGGGAATCCCCCTAGGCGTGAAGGGAGCGCGCGCCGTACGTTCCAAATTTAAAGGAGGGAGGAAGAAAATCCCCTCAGCCCCGCCCACATCGGGTACAGGTTATCCATCCTTCGCCATTGGCCGCTTTATCGCCCCACCCACGCAAGGCGCGAGCCCGGACCTACGCGCCGGTCTCTACGCCACGTGACGGCTTTTATCTCCAGGACGGCGCCGCCTCCGCCTCCCTCCAAATCCTGGACGTCTACACTTTTACGGCGTCTGTGATCGTCATCTGCCTGCGCCAACTGGCGGCTGAGCCAGGAGTTTTCGTACACGTGTGGGCGCTTCGTAGCATGTGCTCGGCTTTGCCCGGAAGCGGTACGGAAAGCGGCTTGGATCAGAAAGCCTGGGCTCTTGCCGCGCGCAGCATTGTGTTGAAGCAGGCTGGTAGTTAGTGGATTGGGAGAGCAGCAACACCCCATCTTTTTTTCGTACGAAAATGGTTAGGGGGTGGTTAAGAAGCTTTGTGTAGTGTCAGTAGGTTGGCACAAACCATGACGTTTGGGGACATTAATCTAGCTCAGGGGTCTTAATAGTGTTAGAAAAACACCCCACTATGTTATGTAATTTTGTTACCATGTTATATATTTTTGTGTTTTTATATTCTAAACTGCTCTGTGATCCTCGGATGAAGAGCGGCATAGAAATTTAATAATCATAGTTAGCAACGCACGCAGCAACTCTTGGGGCAGAGGTAGGGTGCCAACTTGAATAAAATATTGCATAATCGATCACAAGGCACCATTTGAATAGCAGTGCCGCCTCTGCTTGAACGGATTCCACTAGGACAAGGACTTTGGTGGCTGATTCTGGGATTAACCAAACTTTGTTGTGAACCGTCGGCAGAAAGTCCGCTGGGGTTTCTTTTTCAATTAACTCTATAAAATTAGGCTAAAAGCGTTAAAGAACACACCCACAAGTTAATCATAACAACTGGTGCCTAACTTGCTCCTTTCCCCCATACCCTATTTTCCTTGTGTGTCATGCCTTTCATAAAACCTTTAGGGCAGGGACTCCCTTACTATTTATTTTTGCAAGCTGTACTTGGAGTGTGAGTCGACTAAAGAGCAGGCTAAGCATGCATTAAACAGATAAAACTTAATATCTCTCTATCTCTATACTAAAAAGAAATATTGTGGTTACTTAATTTGCACAGGTGCTTAGCTTACCTGTCTGCTTAAGTGTTTACCTCGCACAGCTGGCTCCCTCAGAAGTCTGTCTTATACCCCTTGTTGGCTCCCCCAATTACTCCTGCAATCAGTTAGATTAGGAAGGTCTCCATTTAAAAAACCAAGGGGTGTGAGTCAAGTGCTGGGCTGCACCAGACTCCACTGAGCTGAAACTTAAAAGGGGAATTTAGGTCAGTGAAGCCCACTGGGAATGTTGATTGTCTTTTCTCCTCAGGGGGGTGGCAGACAATGAGTGGTGAAGAAGACGATAATGTTTACAGCGAGCCCCTTGGGTAATGCAAGAGTCTGACTCACTGTGCATTTGATGTTTTTATGGATCTTTTGTTGATTTTATTCTTGTTGATATATCCTTTCTTATAGTTTTATGACAGTACAGTTTATAAGTTCATGACAAATAAGTAGTTGCTGAACTATAAGTTTTCTTGACCATTGGCTATCCTGTTTAGGGCTGGTGGGAACTGTGGTGCAAAACATCTGGAGAGCCACAGGTTCCCCAGCCCTGACTTCCAAGCCACATTTTAAGCCTGAAATAAGCCTAGGTCCTAGGATATGTGTGCAGAGGACTCAAACTCCTTAAGGCACTCTTCTCCAACCTTGTGACCTCTAAGATGTCTTGGAGCTCAGCTTCATCATTTCAGAAGGAACACCAGGCTGGGGAAGGCTGCTATAGTTGCATCCTGCATTACAGATCCTGACATGAGCTAGTCCATAGAATAGATGATTTCCAAGTTCCTTCCTATGATTGTAGGGCTGCATACACCAGTGTTTCCCAACCGGTGTTCCGTGGCACACTAGTGTGCCGCGAGACGTTGCCTGGTGTGCCGCGAGATGTTGCCTGGAGGGAGGCGGGCGAGTCGGGCGGCGAGAGGCGGGGCGGCGGCGGCGAGGAGAGGCCGCCCAGCGCGGGGCTCTCGCCGTCTGCCTGCCTGGCTGCCTGCGAGCTCGGTGGGCAGCGCCTCCGTCCGCAGCGCCCGCCTCGCGGCTCTCATTCCCTGCCCCTGCCAAAGCTCACCCAGCCAAGCCGCGCTCTCCTTCCTGCCTCGCTTTGCTGCCTCCTCCCCCCCCCAAAGCTTGGAGGTTCCCCGGCGCCGACCCGCAGGTTTGACCCCCTTCTCACACCTGTTCGCGCTCCTTGCACGGAATGGGGCAGATGGGGAGGAATGGGGCTCGCCGCTGCCTCCGCTCGCCCTCCCCCCTCCGCCGGCGGTCCCGTGATTCTTGGCTTTTTTGGCGGTTGGCACAGAAGGAAGGCAAGGGGGAGGGAAAAAATTGAAACTTACACTTTCGTGCGTCCCTCCCGGCGTGACGCTGCACACTGACGTCACGGGGCTGTAATGGTGGAGTGCCTCGAGATTTTTTTCATGAAACAAGTGTGCCTTTGCCCAAAAAAGGTTGGGAAACACTGGCATACACACCATATATTAAAAGCAGGAATCCCCCCCCCCCGAGAGAGAATCCTGGGAAGTGCAATTTGTCAAGAGTGCTGAGAACTATAGCTCTATTATAGGTAAAATACAGTTTCCAGGATTATTATTTTTTTGCTTCAAATGTGCTTGTAAGTGTGTGGTGTACAGTGGTACCTCGGGTTAAGTACTTAATTCGTTCCGGAGGTCCATTCTTAACCTGAAACTGTTCTTAACCTGAAGCACCACTTTAGCTAATGGGGCCTTCCGCCGCCAGAGCACAATTTCTGTTCTCATCCTGAAGCAAAGTTCTTAACCCGAGGTACTATTTCTGGGTTAGCGGAGTCTGTAACCTGAAGCGTCTGTAACCTGAAGTGTATGTAACACGAGGTACCACTGTATATGCAGTCTCAATCTGTTTAGGACTGCAGGCGGATTTGCACAGCTGTGCTGGGACCCTAACAACTCTAGGGCTACTGTATTTCTAAAAGTGTTGAAGCTTTCCATTGAGGAACGTTACCTGAGAGCTTTTCCTGTTACATGCATGTCACATTTATGAGTCCTCTAAAAAGAACCTTAATTCTTTTCAAAAGGGAAATTCATTAGTGATTAGAGCAAAACCAAAATGGTTTCCCAGCTTCATAGTTTGCTCAAAACCTGCTGGAAACTGATGTGAATTAAACCCCTCAGAGGAACTGGTTTGCAGTTGCCAGAATTACAATCTTGTGGGGGCGTGTATTTCACGATTTCCTTCAGCAGATGGTGCTGGTGATTTTGAAACAACAGAGAAGGTCGTTTAGAACTGAAAATGCAAAGTAATTGAGGCAATAACCTTTTATTTCAGCCAACTAATGTTCAGCAGTGCTGGATGTAAGCAAGTAGTTTGGGCAGATGCTTAATTAGATTACAAAACAAGCCATTCAAACTTCACAAAAGCTTCAAAGGGACAGTGAAATGAAAAATGTCTGTTCCACTTCAAAATACAGAAATTAATGGTTGGAATCTTGGGTTTTCTGCTACTAGTTCAGCAGTTCAACACCCTGGGAAAAAGCAAAACAAAATCTAACCAAGGCTGCATAAAAATGACTTTTTATTCTAGAATCTGAATATTTTGAGAAGTGAGTACTTGCTTTTTCTGTGTAGCCCCTTTCGCTAGTCTTAATATCTGAGAGGGCCTATAAAGAAGAAGACAGTGGGTTATTTAGGGCTTTAAAGACTAAAGTGTGTACCTTAAATTAGACCCAGAAACGAATTGGCAACCAGTGCAGCTGTTTTAAAATGGGTTATATGAGATCTGGAGGGAACCCCAGCTAGTACTCTGGCTGCTGCCATTTCCAAGTCATTTTCGAGGGCAGCCCCACAAAGAGCACATTGCAGTAATCCAATCTGGAAGTTGAAATATGGAGCACAGCAGCCAAGTTGTCTCTGTCAGAAAGAGACCATAGCTGGTGAACCAGCTAGAGCTGGAAAAAGGGCACTCTTAGCCTCTGAGACTGCCTGAGCCTTCCATGACTATGTTGAATCCAGGAGCAATCCCATGTATTAATCTGAGGAAGGACCACAGCTTAGTGGTACAGCATCTGCTTTGTATGTGGAAGGTCCCAGGTCCAATCGACACCATCTCCAGGTAGAGATGGGAAAGACTGTCTGAAGCACTGGGAGATTGCTACCAGTCAGTGTAGACAACACTGAACTAGATGGACAAATGGTCTGACTAGGCAGAAGACAGCTTCTCATTGTTAAAAGTTGGCAGGGGGGACCCCTCCTAAACCCAAGAAATTAATGAATGTCAGGATCTAGCTAATATTGGAGATAGGAAGGGGAAATGCAAGCTACAGAACGGTGCCAGACAGAGAATCCCTGGGCTGGCTTATGCAAACCAGCCTGGCTGGTCTGGTTGAATGCAGTCCATTATAAAACAATGGCCGGGCATTTACACATCAGAGAAGGTCCTCAAGTCTGTGCAAAACAGGTTGCCAATGTGTCAGGGAGGGGTGTAAGGTGACAGGAAAAGGTGTTGTTTTTCAGGCAGCTGGGAAGAAGAAGGAGAACAAAGCCCATTCCTCCAAAATAATAATAATAGTAATAATTATTATAATTTATTATGCCCCACCCATCTGGCTGGGTTTCCCCAGTCACTCTGGGCGGCTTCCAACAGAATATTAAAATACAATAACCTATTAAACATTAAAAGCTTCTCTAAACAGGGCTGCCTTCAGATGTCTTCTAAAAGTCTGGTAGTTGTTTTTCTCTTTGACATCTGGTGGAAGGGCGTTCCACAAGGCGGGTGCCACTACCGAGAAGGCCCTCTGCCTGGTTCCCTGTAACTTGGCTTCTCGCAGTGAGGGAACCACCAGAAGGCCCTTGCGCTGG